GAATGGAAACCAGTTAAGTCACTCGGCTGACTCCTTTTTCCTTTATCACAGTAAGAGTTTCTCAATGAAAGAAGCAATTGATTTACATTCTAGTGCAAAATCCTTATCTCATTGTAAAAAGCCGTTGGCTGACTGGCTACATCATAAAGGAAAATGCTAGAGGGTGGGCTGGGGTCAGCTCATGAAAGGGCTTTGAGTGACATGCTAAGGCATTAAGACTTTCTTTAGTTTGAGGATGGGGAGAGAGACATTACCACGATGATGCTATAGAGGATAAATTTCAGGGCACAGAGATGTGAAGGCAGAGGAAGTGATGTGTTTGGAAACCATCGTATTGATCTGGTCTCCCAATCTGTTCTTTATTCCAATGTTGGTTTGCGACAGCGTTTTCATCAATATGTAGTAGAATGAGAAAATTAAAGAAGGTTTAGTCAGTTTTTCATACAGATAATTTTATTCAACTCTAAAGGACTTCTTTAGTTCAAAATTATGACCTCCCGACTTTTGTGGGCATAAATGGTCCATTAATCTATGCAATAATGGTGACAATAAATAATAGGGTGTGTGTGTGTGTGTGTGTGTGTGTGTGTGTGTGTGTGTGTGTGTGTGTGTGTGTGTGTGTGTGTGTGTGTGCGTGTGTGCGTGTGTGTGGCCTATCGTTCAAGTAAAGAATCAGCTGATCCCTCTGGTTCTCCAGATGTCTCTTTGAAATTTTCTGGGTCTGAAATCCATAAGAGTGGAAACTCCTAGATTACGGGGTGCAGACCTAAACTCAGGGTTGAGGCAGTGGGAAAAGAGATGGAGAGATACATCAGAGGAGTGAGACGGAGGTGGAATCTGTCAGATAAGATAACTGACAGTCCAGATTTTACTATAATTTGTATGCACATGGACTCTATTCCTGAACCTCAAATATACAATCAGATTTTTTTTCAGCAACAACTCCATGAGTGCCTCTTATTTGTCAATTATATTATAAACCTATTTTATGAAATACTCTTCTTATAATTCATCCTCACATTTCTCCCCATAATTTCATTCTTCGAAAATCATCACATGATCGATAGTTTTATAGTTGACTACCATGGTGTTCATGTCTAAGCTCCTTCTTGAACAATCATTTGACAGTGCATGACTGGGATTCCTCATCACCCGACTGGCCGAAACTTCCCTCCCTAAGAGGAAGGCGGATAGGTAATATTCCGCTTCCCCACTGGTGCTGCCTTTTGTAGTATCGGTACAATCTTCTTCCAGCTGCTGTGCTGAGGATCCTATTACCTTTATCTTAACACAGACTGAGAGATGGTTTGGTCAAATGACACCAACAGCAAATGCCTGAGGAAAGCGGGGGGTTAAATTTTCATTTTTCTGAACTCTCATTTTTGATTTCCTTGTTCTTTTCTTGCCCACTCTAATATACGAAATCAAAATGAATTGTAGTCTAGTTACAATGCATATGGCTGAGCCCTTGCCTGTGGAGGAACCACCTATGATAACAGATCTCATTGTCAATATTGTGCTGCCAGTTCTTTACTATTGTACTCTCCTCCTGTGAGCACCTGCCCCTGCTGTGCACGTGTGCACACACAGTCCGCACCCAGATGGCATCACCATCATTTCCTTTATTTAGACATTGGAAATAATAGCTAACTCCTAAATGAAGCCAGTTTAGACACGTGATCTTTGAAATTTTGAAAAACAAATATTTGGGGGAAATATTTGATTCTCTTCCCCTAAGAAAAACTCCCCTCATTTTGTCCTCTCTCTTTCAACATATGTTTACTCCAGGATCACCTGTTGGTCCCTGCTGGGCCTCTAGAGAGGGTCCTATTCTCCCAGCACTACATATTTTATTGTTTTGAATCCCTGAGTTTCTTCTACTCATAGGATTTCAATCAGAAATGCCTTTTCCTACCATTTCTCCCATAGTCTCTCTTGTACATCAAGGAGTTCTGTGTAGCATAGGGAATATTCATTAAAACAGCACCTTGTTTCAGTTGCCTCATTCGTTTGAGGGAGTAGTACAGTGTCTCTCCAAATTACAAAAGCGAGTATTGCTTGCTATCTCTATTTTTCTATCAATAAATCATATGCTTGCTACCTCCTCTTGTCATTCAGCTATTATTCTGCATTACTTTATCAGTCTGTAGCTTCTTGAGAGTGGGAACCACCCACCTTTTGTTCTTCTCATAGCTATCAGTGCAACTGTTGCCTAGTAGGTGCTCAGTCCATACTTCTCGAGTTAAATTTAATTATGGTAGAGCTCCAATAGCAGTGGCTAACCTCTCCACTAAAACTAATGTATGGGGGTTAAATATTGGTGACCTTTGACATTCTAACCCCATTCCTTTCCTAACTCTGCACGATCTCTTTCGATTTAATGCACTCCCATGGCCCTAACTGCCACGTCCTAGGATAATGATGATTTTTTAAATGATCTCTAGTCCAGCTTGTTCTCCTGGCTTACTATCTATCTTACTTTGTTGTCCTTCAGATACATAAAAACAATATATTCAAGCCCAAATCCTCCCTTTGATGTGGCCCTTGTGATGGTAAATCATAGCACCTTCTAAAGAGGCATCTTCTTAATTCTTCTGTTTTTTCCTTCACGTATTTAAACAATAGACATTTATTGAGCACTGTGTAAACTGCAATGCCAAGTAAAGACTCAGTGGTCATAAGATGCATCGTCCTTCTCTGGAAAATGCTCCAATCAATCATAGAACATAAGGGACGTATACAAACGGCCCCTGCCATTATATAAAGTATATGTTTCTAATTGGTCGGGTATTTCAAAATCAGTTACCAACATTTAGTCCTTCTGATATCCTATTTTCTGCAGAGACATAAATCTTAAGTAAGTAAAATTCTTTGACATATTCACATTCATTCCAAAGGCAGGGTTTATCAAAATTTACATGTAGTCATTCCCCAAGTTTCCTTTTGTCCTTCATTCTCTCTATCACTTTATTTTAGAATGCTGGTATATCTTACTGTATCAGCCTTATTACCGCTTCCTCTTCACGTGCTCTTTGCCTTCGCTCTTCATCAGTCATCCATTTCTATTTGATCCTTTCTTCTTAATATCTCTTTTATTTGTCCTTACATGCATAATGTCATGCTTTATCTAAAGTGTTTAACAGATTCTTTCTATGTCTTCGTTGTGAACCTGGCTAGGCAATACTAGCCCACACTATTGCTAGAGATTTTTAAAACCAAGATCGAATTTTGGCATTTCTGTTGTTGAAATAATTCAATGGTTCCCCATTGTGTTCTAGATAAAATCCAAACTTCTTAGAATGCTAAACTAGGCCCTGTGTGGTCTTACTCCTGCATACTCTTCCAAGGCTGTCATAGCACCACTGTCTTCCCTTCCTTCTTTGCTCCTCACCAACTGTTTAGTTAAGACTGTGAATTCTGGACTCTGACTTTCTGGGTTCGAATCCTGGCTCTGCCACTTACTAGCTATGTAACCTTGGAAAGTAACTTATGTTCTCTGTACCTGAATTTTCTTATCTGTAAAATGGGAGACACAGTAGTATCTCTTTCATGTATTAATTTGGTAGACCCAATGAGATAATATATATTAAATGCTTATAATGGCCTAGATGATAATAAATAATATGTGTGTTGCTATTATTGTTGTTAATTTACTCAAAGCAGTTGTAATCGATCTCATTTCTTCTTTTTTGCATATTTCTCACATTCTCTCGCTTTACCTGACTTACTTCTACTGTCTTCTGAGCTCTGGCTTGGATATCAGCCTCTCAGAGGAGCTAATTAATTTAGGCACTAATGCCTGAAGAAAAGGCACATAGACAGCCAAACGGGCTGGTGACAGTTCAGGCCACTGCAGGGTGACTGCAGATGGAGAGCCTTTTGTTTCCGGACTAGGGGCTCAGCAAACAAACATATCATCTTTGTGATTAAGGCAGGCTCTAAAAGTGCATGACAAAAGGTGAGATCCTTTAACTAATAGCTCCTTCAAGACCCTTCTTAATTATTATTCTTAAAATGTCAAACTGTGGCTCTCAGTGGTGCGGATCATATACTTAGCTGCATATGATTGAGAGATGACCGGGATTAAAATGAATATGTATATTCCAGAATACAGAGCGAAGTTTTCCAAAGCACACCCAGATCAGTGGTCCTTAAATAGAGACTCCGGTTGGAGTGGGATGGGGAGCAGGGACAAGCTGGGGGAAGCCACATGCACCCCAGCCCGACATTCTAAAATCATGCATGTAATAAAAGGTACAGTTTTTGACAGTGAGGTGTCCACATCAAGGATGCGAAGACTAGGGGAAATGGCTGAGCACTGTGATCAGAGTAAGGTCCATTTGCCTCATTTACAGCTGATGAATCAGGCCCGGGGTATTACAGAATGGGCTTTTTGTATCACATCAGGCATCTCATCAGACTTTATTATATACCCCATGATCTCTGCATTACAAAGTACTTTTCGGTATACGAAGTCCTTTTTTTTTTTTTTAAGTAACTAAGAGCCTTTGAATGGGTCAGCATGACAGACCCGCTCTATTTTGAAAAACGAAAATAATAATAATAAATATGAAAAATGAAGACAAACCAGGAGTACATGTCAGAGTGACATAGAAGTACCTGATAATATGAACAAATATTGAGCACTTACATTGTACTGGAATGGTTTAGTACAATTCAGTAATCTTGTCTTAAATAGTGCATTTAATTAAGCCATTGAATTCAGAGTTGACTTTCAATGCTTGCGATTTTTTCAGGAACAAGATGAAATCATTCAACTTAATTTTGAGAGAAAGTACTGTCTATTTTACAAAAAGCTTAGGAATTAATTCAGAAACTGCTCTTTTATTACTGACAACTCTGCATATTAACAGTTCTTTCTAATTCCTTTTCTTCAGTGTAATTTATGGATAGGTCAAGAGGTTAACCTGGGCTGTAGCTGGTTCACTATTTTTATTATGTAAAATGACATTTAGTATTTGTTTTTCTTTTCCTAATAGGGCCTGCATTCCCTTCAAGGACTCATACTATGTGATTCGTCATGTGAAAGACCTCGCTATTTGATTTCGCTCTTGCTACTTTTCGTTTATATTATCTGTTGAGAAAAGCATGAGCAACAGCTGTCACTCTCTGAGGGTAGAAACTGCCACGATTCACAAAGACAAGAAATAGCTTTCCTGTAATCACAAGATGACTAAGGTTAGTCGTTTTCAGCTATTACTGCAATTTAAATAATATGAGGTTTTTAGGCACTGCTTTTTTAGTAAACCTAATTAGTCCCAAGTCCTATAATTTTAAATTTATGACAGTGTGATATAAAGTAAGTTGGAGTTTATTTTTGCACTAGGTAGAAAAAGAATTTGAAAATAGTTGTACAGAAATTAAAAATTACAAGAATATTTAGTATTTAGTATTTTTCCAGAGATCAAAATGCCTTTCTGGGATTTAAAAAACATTGTTAAATGATAGTTTTTATCATACAAAAGTTTGCAGTATAGTTTGTACTCGAAAGTAATACGTAGATGTCAAGTTTGAAGAATTATACAGTAAAAGCTAAAAGAACCTATGTATTTTATAATTAAGTAAAGTTTTTGAACTGTCCTGACTAACTTATATTTTCACTATAGAATTATAGTTTAAGTATGTCTTTAAAATTTAAATGCTCTCTTTTTTAATATTGTGTCTTCTGTGGCATTTATAATAGGAGATCAATTTACAATATTTATATTTGTTTTTAGTTATAAAAATGTGACTGTTACAGGCCTAGGGTATATCCCTAAAATGTTTCCTGCTAGGGCAGGAAATCACGAAATACAGAACTGGGAAGGCTCTGCGTTCGTCCTGCTTTCCTGTGAGGGCCTGTCGGCTCCCAGCAGGGCGTTCATGATTTATGACTGAAGACTGGACGATCAGTTGTCTGGAGTAAAGTACAGTTGTTCTGTTATAATATACTCACATGAAAGAGGAAAACGTTAATATATATAAAGAAAAAATAGGATGAACTCACATAGTAACAAGTTATCAGATTCTAATAGAATACGATTGATAATTTTTACTTGGTCATTATGTAGGTATTCAACATATCTTATGATGAGCTGTTTATTCTCCTTTTTTGGCTTAAAACACCCATGCTGTCTGTCCATCAGGGCTGTCACTCAGGGACTAGGCTGATGCTTTCATGCTTTCAGAGGTACTTGGTAAGGCACACACTGGCTTGTAAAGCTTCTGCCCAGGTGTGATCCACATCTTTTCTGATTGCTTTTAATGGATGAAGCAAGTCACATGGCTTTGCCTGAATCAAGTTGGATGGAGAAGTGTTATGCTAATCACATGCCCAGAACAGGAAAACCTAACATCTGTGAATTCTTACTGCCGACTCAGTTGCTAGAAGTAGGAATTACTGATGTATTTCTCTATGTTCCTCTCTCCATGGGAAAAACACACCAAGCCACTCACTTCTCCTGTTAGTTTCCTATCACATTCTCTCCTCTCTTCCATTTTCCAAGTAATAAAGGCTAGACATAAAACAAAAACTGAGCACTTGATGTAAGAAGTACTGCTGAATAAGAGAGGGCTATTACAGTGGTAAGGTCAGAAGCCCAATAAGCTTAAGTAAAAAGGGGAATTTATTGACTCTCTGAGTTGGGAAGGATACAGGGTGGCTCACAAAACTGCAAGACCCAGTCTCAGGGACTACAGCCGGACTCTCTACTGCCACTCTTTTCCTTTTCCATGTATCTCTCATCTTTGTCTGCTTTGCCTGACTGCATGTTATTCTACCTAAAGACAGCTGTTATCCATATAGAGGAAAGATGGCCACTGGCGGCCTGACCTTTAGATCTTTCCAACTCTGTGATGCCAGTGCTACACTGAGATATCTTGAGGAAGGACTCTGATTGGCTCAGCTTATATCACTTGCCCACCATTGAACCAATGATTGTGTTCAGGGATATGAGATACCATGATTGGCCAGGGAGGGCAAGATACAAATTATCAGAAGAGGGATGGTGAACTTGGTTGGACAAATAAAGACAATAGGTACTCTAGTCTACTTAGAATAGATATACCTAGAGCGATCTTTTAAAATTATAAATCCAATTATATTGCCCCACCCCAGTCACCTACTCACTTGAAACTACTTTCTATGGCACTTAAACTCCAAATTAGTTCTTCACATATTCAGTGCATTACTTTATATGACTTCTCCTTATCTTTCAAATTATTTTCCCTTCCTCATGACTCACCAACAAGGCATCAGCTACGAGGTTCCAGAATTTGACTGTACACACATTAAGAAGCCTGGCTAAACCAAACCGTATTTCCCTAGCTTCTCCTTGAACCCTGTATTCTTATTTTAATACTAGTCTTGCTAGCTTAATCATATTACTGAATTCACAAGGAATTTGCTTATATATATATAAAATTCATATGGAAAATATTTCAGGAAATTTAAATCCGCAGTGTCAAAAATGTCATACTGGATAGCCCCAACTCTACAAATCAATTTTATAGTCATCTGTTTATTCTGGAGTATATAATCTTAACTGTAAAGTACAATAAAAACAAAATGGATTTATATTGTTCACATACTTTAAAATAGCTCTTTGAAGTTACTTGTTTATGGCAGAGGTGAGGCATTTTGGGGAGGACTTAGAGAAAAGGTCTCCAAGGGACCTTGCTGTTCAGATTCTGCAAATTCTGAACTTGTAGTTGGAGACAGATTGAAGGAGACTGAGTTTCTGTTGTTCGTCATTTAACATTTGCAAGTGCAGTAAAGTAAAATTTATTTGTTCTGGGGTTCTCAAGATCGTATTGCCTGATTGATTCCTTGAAGGGAAAAATTTAAACAGACTTAAGTCTACTGAGATTTTGAATTAAAAAGAAAAGCACTCAATGTTTGGGTTTTTCCTGTGTGTAGGCAGTTATAGCCAGCCATATGTTTACTTTGTAAATTCTAGTTGAGGGTGCAATATAAGCTGTTTCAATTTGGGTGGAAATTTTGTCAGACCTCGCAAATGAGATTTGTACTCTGTTAGGAGTTTGACAGATTTTTTTGCTGGGACTGTGGGCAGGTCCATGGTAATTAAGGATAATCTACTGCTAATTTGTTTTAAGAGTAAATCCTGAAAAGCCCTTCCTTGCAGTAGAAGGAATGACGAAATTAGAATACAGTACCCCCTATATCCCTCAGTGGATGCCTGAAACCATGGATAATACCGAACCTTATATGTACTATGTTTTTTCCTATAAGTATATACTTATGATAAAGTTTAACATAAATTTGGCACAGTAAGAGATGAACAACAATAATAAATAATAAAAAATAAAACAATTATAACAATATACTGTAATAAAGGTTATGTGAATATGGTCTCTCTTCCCACCCCCAGAATACCTTATTGTACTGTACTCACCCTTCTTCTTGAAATGATGTCAGATGATACAGTGCCTTCATGATGAGATGAAATGAGGTGAATATGCTGGACAAAGGAATGATTCACGTCCCAGGCAGGACGGAGAGGAACGATGACAGATTTCATCACGATACTCAGAACGACACACGATTTAAAACTTATGAATTGTTTATTTCTGGAATTTTCTATTCAATATTTTTGGACTGTGGTTGACCAGGAGTAACTTAAACTTCAGAAAGCAAAACTGCAGGTTTGGGGGAACTCCTGTATCATTACTTGATGGTAATCGTAGTAATAATTTTGTTAAGCAAGAGTCATCAATAGATTGAATGCTAAAATTGGTTCGTGAAAGGAGAAACAGGATATTTCCACAGTCTCAAGATGCATGGGATGCAACAGGAGCACAAGGGACAGGACTGAACTAGCTGATATGCACCTGTAGGGCTAAATGGGTTCTTAAATAATTGAACATACTTTTATACAGATTAGTGAAAAGCCACAGTCTGAGCCCCTGGCCTTTTCTCTGCACTACTCCTCCTGACATGCACCAAGAGAATAATGAAATGACTGAGCCCCAAACAGCAGGGACCTCTAAGGTCTAAGACCGGCTGTTATACCTCTCCCACTCTTTACTGATTGCCCTCATCCTGCATGGAAGGTCAGAGAAGGCTTTCTGGAGTAGGTGATGACTGTGACAAGAATGAACAGATGTTAGCCAGGAAAAGCACAGCATCTGTGCAGGACCATGGATGAGAGAGAATGTGTTGCGCCTGAGAATCCATGAATCGTTGAGTATTACAGACTCATGAGATGCTGGGGAAGGATGGTGAGTAATGGCTTCAAGAGGAAGGTCGAGGCCAGACCAGAACGAGATTTAAATCCCTCCTACGATGCCTGAACTTGATCAGACAAGCTATAAAATGCCTTTGAAGAAATCTAAGATGGGAAGCAATACAATATGATTTGTTTTAGAAAAGTAGTTGTGGCATAATTGAAGGAGTTTAAGGGCCAACGAAATAACACCTGTTTACAGACTGTTGAAGTAATTCAGGCAAGAAACAAGCAGCTTTTCTAAAATAGAATCAGTAAGCATATAGAGAAATGGTTGGAATCCAGAGACAATAAAAAGGTAGAATCAATAGAGCTTCATGACTGGATTGGAGTGGTGAGCTACATATTATAAATTTTTAAAATCTGTTTAGCATTAGATAGAACAATTTTATCCACAGTGAACCATTGGTAAGACATTTGTATATGCTTCCAAAATTAAGAATTGATCCTGCACAAGAACTGACAATGACTTGCTCATTCCCAAACCATTATTTTCTGAAGAGAAGGTTTTATTCTTTGCAGCTTCTAAGTAAGTGTAAGATCAGCACAACCTTTGGCAGTTGTAGGTTCCCAATTTCAGGGAATCTGCATCTTTCTTCAGCCATTGCCAGTGCTTCCTCTGACCTGCATTTCTTAGGGTGGCCCTGTTTTCCCAGGATGGATCATGAAGCTGCCCAGCTGGAGAAGCAGCATGTACATGATGTGTATGAGAGCACAGCACCTTACTTCAGCGACCTGCAGAGCAAAGCTTGGCCTCGCGTCCGCCAATTCCTCCAGGAGCAGAAGCCAGGAAGCCTCATTGCTGACATAGGTAACCATGGGATGTGCCAAATAGCCTGAAATGTATTCCATCGTGCCTCTCCTTTTCAAATTCATTTTACATTTTTATTCTAACCAGAAGTCTGAAATTGTATCTTTGGCATCCCAGTATCTAGCCTATTCACTTTATAGTAGAAATTCATATGATCAAGTCAGAAAGTAGAGGACTTCCACAAATCTACATTTAGACAGAAACTAGATTTATTTCTTAAAATTTTAAAATAGATCTTTTCAGAGCTTTTGCAACAAAAGAGACCTGACATTGATTGACTAAATCGGGATTGAAATGACCACTTACGAATTTGACCGTTTTAAATTTAGAGAAGTTTATATTTATAAACACAGTGGTCTGGCGGCTCACTTTGAGTGGCTCTTATAACCCCTATAACCCCTTCTTAATCTAATGGGCCCTTTCCCTTAACTATCCTATAGATGTTTCACTATTAGAGCATATCTTTAATTAGATCATGTTTTCTTAATCACTGATTTGCCTGGAAGACTTTGGCTCAGATTGTTTCTGAATGGAGAAATGATAAACCATAGCCCAGTAGATCTAAAACTAAGGTCTAAGATGTGCTAAGATTCCCACTTGAGGCTTGCCCACCTAAAACTGCTTTCTAGCAATTGCATTTGGATTGTACCCGTGAGAGTCCTAAGTTTGTAGTTACAAACTCTGTCTAATTTGACATTCTTTCCAAATACTGGTAAGAGAAACAGACATGTGCCCAGGGCTTTCGGCTTGTTAAAGATGATGCGAGCAGTGTGTAATTTAAAGAAAGGGTACGTGTCATGTTGAAATGGAGAGTCTTTGAAAATATCTCTATCATGTCAGTTTTTAAAAAATAAATCTGATTTCAGAAGATACAATGGGTTGGGAGCTTTTCCTACTCATAATCTAAGTAAAGTACCAGAATCTTAAAGTCACTTGGTAGGAAAAGGAACTATTCAACAGGTGGCTTTAGGACAACAGTGTATATGTATATATATATGCTACTTTCTCATAACTTACATCAAAAATTCCAAATGAAGTTGGGGGAGAGGACGGGGAGGTAGACGGGGAAAAAATTTAAATCATTTCTTCAATTTAATTAATTAATTAATTAATTTGAAAAAAATTCCAAATGAAGCCGCGATTTAAGTTTAAGGAAATGAAATCATTGAAGAACTAGATGACAACTAGATTACTTTAAAATAATAAAATAAAGAATAAAAGAATAATTAAAAAGATAGAATAAAAGAATAAAAAATATTCTCAGAGGTAAAGAGTTTTCTATGTATGATACCAAAAAAGTGAGATATCATAAAATAAAATACAGTTGATTGTCATTATTTATGATACTTATCTTCTACAAAGTTGCCATGGACACTGAATTAGTGAATACTGTGTCATTGCCCCTAAGGGAAATATAGGATTAGGTTCATATGAGGCTCTGGTCACATATTTATTAACTGGCCAGTACCTAACTTTATTTGCTTCATATATGTTTCTGTTTAAAGACACCTTATTTACTATATATTGTTGATTCATTAACACTGAACTCACAGGAAACAACTCTGAACAAAGTGTATTTAACACATATATCTTGTCCGTAACGCCCATCACAGCTCTCCTGCGCTTCAGAACCCTAGCTAGACAGCACTCTGGCATGATGCTGAATTTTAAACAGTGAAATCACCAAGAGTACAGAAATGCACAAAATGTGCATGGTGCAGAATACAAAATAGAGGGGAATGTAAGCATTCAGACACTTTCTGTTCTCTCTCTTCAGTACTGCGAAAGGTTATCATTTAATGAGATTTTGTAAAGGAGCCTGATTGCTGTGTGCTGGAGCTTGCTGCACTATCAAACATGTTCTGATTTAGTTCTTTCACATTTATGACAATATTCTTGATCTCCCCATCAGAATGAAAATCCTCTCTTCTGTAACATCTCAGTGTATGCACTTAGAAAAATGGATAATTGCATCATATTTGGGATTTCCATTACTACCCTTAAAAATAGATCCCATTAGAAATGAATATGGGATAAGTCGAGGGTGCCAGGGGCACTGGAAATGTTTCAGGAGATGCTGAGATTTGAAAAGACCTCAGTTTCCACATTATTATTAGACGCTCTCTGAACACTCCCTTCCAGCCCTAATCACCTCTAAACCTGTTTTTATTAGTATTTTTGAAGTAATTTTCCTTTTCATTTCTCTAAATGTATCCCCTGAGCCAATAATAAAGTAGAGGATTTACAATATTGTTTTTCTTAAAATACAACTATCATCTTTGTAATATTCAGGATTTCAATTTTAAAACACATTGTCAATTATATTTTCCCCATGATTGCCCTTAAATATTGAATACTTTTTCTCATAAGCATTCTTGGGAATGGTGGTCATGAGATCTAACGTATTTCTAAGACCCCAATCATTTACATTGAAATAATAGCATTAGAAATCTTATTTTTTATTCACATGCTCTCCACTGGCATCTCTCAGCTGGCATCAGTGAACCTTATGTAATTAGTGTCTCATATAATTTTGTGCCTCCTATCATTGCGAATAGCACCTTTTAAGGAGGAGTTATTAAAAAGTGTTGATGTATTTCAGGAGCAGCAAACTATCATCTTTGAATAGCAGATCTTAGAAAAATATCAAAAAAAAAAAAAAAAGTCAGGCAGAAAAATCTACAGGTGACTCCAAAAGGTACAAATATCAGCTCTGTTGATATCTTTAAATGTTTCTGGGAAGGAATTAGATGATATGTCTGGCTAGAATACAATTTTAGGTACTAGATCGTAGAAGCCTTTGTTTCAGGATGGTTATTTATTCACGTTGCTGTTTCCTTCATTGTAATATGAGTGAGATCCGATTGATCTAAATCATTAGGCTATGTAAATGTTGAATTACTTGAGTCTCTGCCACCAGAAAGTGAATGTCAAAAATGGTCTATTTAACACATGAAATAAAATGAAGGGGTACTGCGGAAACCATAGAAGGGGGACTTTTCTGAAACTTCTCTGATGGGGGTCAGGGTAATTTGCCATGGGCAAAAAAGTAGGACCACCTTTGCCCTTCCAAATGAGAGATTTAGTGAATCTTACTTGGCTATGGTGGTGTTTCTGTGAATCATAAAATTCTTTTAATTCTGATAATATGTATTTTAGCTACACTAACTATCCCCAGTGTGCCATCATTTTCAGAAATTGAAATCTCCCAGTTGATAACCATGAGCAAGAAGTGTTGGCATTTCTTGTTTATCTTAACATAAAGAAATTATTTTTTGCTTTTCTGTGTCTCTTAATAACGTGAGAGGTAAGCTGCATATCTAATTATACATTTCTTCTGTTTTACTGACAGATTACAAAACAAAACACTCTACTTACTTTTAGAATAGTCAGACAAAAGTTTTATAAAAATTTGTCAGTAGTATATTAAAATAATGTCAATCAACTATTCAGTTCAAGCCAGTAGTTCTCAACATGGAGTTATGTTGCCCCCCTCTCAAGGGATATTTGTCAATGTCTGGAGATGTTTTTTGTCATCACAGCTGAGTGTGTGATGTTTTTCTGACCTGTCACTTCTAACTCATCACTGTCTTCAATTTATTATGTTGTTTACTCGTCCTTTGTACAGAAACCTCAAGTAGGGGTCAAATTCTACATTTTTAATCTAATCTAGAAAGTCTTCATTCTCAGCCCAACCTTTTTAAAGTTGATTGTCCAAAGACTTATAACATAAACCCTTAAAATCTCTTTTGCAAAAATGAATGCTGTTGACCTCCCTAGAATATTGCACATAAGTCACCAACCAATTCCATTGGTTCCTGGGTTCTCTTGAAGCCCTATCCATGATCTGTAGGTTAAGAATTGCTGATGTAACCTATTAAGGGAACTTGCTTTCCTCATAATTTTTAGACTCTCACTTATTTGTACCTTTAGTTCTTAGAATGTCCTCATTTCTGTCATTAAAATCTATTCATTAATTATTAAAGCTTTATCCTTACTGTCTCTATGAAACCTTCCTAATCACCTGTAGCTACAATGGCTACCAGTAGTTCTTACTCTATTGGATTGTAAGCTCCAAGAGAGAAAATACAATTTTACACTTTATTTCCCTCGCACTGCCTTATGACCTGATACACTATGCCTAGTTATCTGTCAAAGATAGGGGAATTTCAAAAATCATGTACTGCTCAATTTTCTTATGTTAGTTTATAAGAATAATTAAAAAGATTTGATTTTAACATCTTTAAACTTTGGCTTCCTGGTCACTCAATAGTCATTGGCCGCTATTTCAGTTCTATCCCTGACTACCAAAAACACCTGTTTCTGTGCAGTACATGAAAATTTTCAAACACTGATTTAGACTAGGAGATAGGATTAACCATTATCAATGGTCATTATCAAGATCACTATTAGTTTCTTAGTAGGGTATATATATCCTCAGTAGTTCATCAGTGCTAGAGTAAATACTTGTTTGAAAGTACTTTAATTGTGTTGTAAGAGGTAACTTAGGCAAATCTAACTGGTTTGCCATCTTTGGGCATTTATACTTTCTGTGGGCTTGTGGCTAAACCTGAAAAGAGGAAGAAAAATTGTGCCCAATAATGCAGTACTTAAACTTCGTATCATAAAGCCATGCTTAGAATTGCTGTTGTTTTAATGCCTTCTGAAATTTAAATATTGTAGCCAAATAAAAGACATTAAAAAAAATGGTCTATTTAAGAAAAAAATAGTGCTTTCTTAGAGTTACATACTGAGTTATGTGAGATCATTTAAAACCTAGCACTGACAGTGGGTTGGATAAGATGCTGAAATCTTTTATTAGTTCAAGTTAAAATCTAAAAGTTTTTAAAAACCTATTTTATTATATAAATTATTTTATTTATAACCATTTAAAAGTTGTTGGCAGTAGTTTGTTTTATATAGTTATTAAGTGGCAAGACTGTCTAGAGAGGTAACATGAGAATAAATGCCATAACATATAGATCTGCACATAATGAAATATGTATGTGAAGATCACTTTAGTAAAGACACTGGACACTGTCCCTGGGACAGTAGAGACCTATCAGTCCTTGCCAGGGGTCAGCTAACATTTTCTGGCTGTGCTAGCATGCTAAGCCCTATGGACATCAGCGCATTAAATAGTCAATAAACATTATTTCTTTTTTTCATTCCCTTTTCCTCTTCTATATGAAATATGTAAGAGCTCTCTGAAGGCTTGTCTTTTGCTTTTGTGTATATCTTCACACCAAAGTGTATTCTGTCTTGGTTAAATAATATAAAGTTATTTTTCTTCCTTGTTATAAGGCAGACTAACTGACAATGTTTCATTCTTTGTCAAGGATAGCATGAAACACAATTTTTCTCTTATAGGTTGTGGGACTGGAAAATATCTTAAAGTGAACAGCCAGGTCTATACCTTGGGCTGTGACTACTGTGGGCCATTGGTTGAGATTGCCCAGAGTAGAGGATGTGAAGTCATGGTGTGTGACAACCTTAATCTCCCCTTCAGGGATCAGGGCTTCGATGCCATCATCTCCATAGGAGGTAAGGCAGTCCAGTAACTCATTCACTTTCTGCTCTAAGAATAATGTTACATGGTTGAGGCAACTCTCACGACCCAACTTTTCTTTTATAGAAAAATCTATATCATTTATTTTATCTAATTAAAAAAAAATATTTCAACTAATTAAATTATTTGACTAATCTCAAATGTACTTATGGTGGTACATATAATCGTTTTAACAAGTTAAACTTTCAAACTGTTATTGTGTTCTTTTTGATGACGCGTTCCAATTTCTTTTACTTATGAGTAAGAAAGTATTAGAGGAGTTTTACTAGTTAAAAATAGTACTTTGTTATATTGAAATGTAGCCAGATCTTCCAATGTGAAGTAGATCTTAATAAGTCACATTTTTTTTTAGGTCACAAGTGTGCTGTTTATTAGCAGAATATTGTAAGGCTAATGTCACCTGAAAGTATCATCCAATTTGCCACTCGCTGGTATGCAAGTCCCTGGGGAAGACAGCCCCACCTGGTCCCAGATTGCATTGTTACTATAATGCCACTCTGCTCTCTAGCTGCCAGAAATTATTCATAAATCTAGGGAACATGTTCCTCATTTCCTCCTAGCTAGTGTGTCCATAAAAATGAAAACAAACATCAAAAATCCATTTATGGAAATTTACACTGGTAAGGCTCATTTTACTCAACACACGTATTCCTGAAACCTAGTATGTTAGTCGTATTTATATATGCTAGAGAAACTTGCTGTTTAAGAGAATCTTAAGACTGGCACATTATTTTGCAAAGCAAAAAAAATCTTTTGCAAAGCAAATTATTTCTTCTAATACACTTTTAAATAGATTAATAAAATTAATCTATTTGAATAAACAAGCTTTTATCAAAGCAAGGTAAACCTATATAAGACTGACTGACCAGATAAAAACAGAGAGTAAAACCATTTGCTTCCTCCTTGAATAGATGAGAAATGGATTTACTCAACTGTATCTTTGCATAGTGAGGGGATGCAGACCGGGATGCCATAACCCTGGAACAAGTTAAGACTGGCAGGAGATGGTTGCCATGGAAACCTGCTCTGTGACAGCCCTACTTAGCAGTTGAAACTGTGAAGTCCATTTTGGCCATCTGCATTAAGAGGAGGGAGAGATCCTTGTTGAACCAAGCAACACTACACAATGCTTTGAATCTTTAATGGAAAGGGAGATTTGGTTTGGTCATTCCACCTAAAGAACTAGAAATCTGAGAGAGGTCAGAGCAGCAGATTCCTTGCTCTCCTTCTATTACATTGGTTTTAGGGTCTGCAAGGCGACCTACATCCGGTGTGGGCTGTTGAGCCACTGTTGTGGGCATGGGATACTTACCAGCTTTCCTGCTTTGGGGAAATGCTCCACGTGTACATGGCTAAATTCTTCTCCACTTGCAGTTTAAGTCTCATACCTGGTCTGCAGAGGAAATGGAGCATACGTGGTTGCCATCTTCTAATTAAAAATGTTCCATAAGTGGAAACCCAGCATGTGCTTTTATGAACTATAACTATAATGTAATGTCATTTGCCACTTAGGTTTCACATTTCGAACTAGATTATGAGAAATTTCATTAGACTGTCGCTCCTATGTCCATATACATTTACTTCCTAATTTAGAATTTTGTATGTTGGCACTTTTGCTTATCTTAACATGAAGAAACATATTTTTTTTGCCTTTCCATGTCTCTTAATAACAATGTGAGGTAAATAGTATATCTGATTATACATTCCTTCTATTATACTGAGAGATTACAAAATGAAATGCTTTTTACTTACTTTTAGAATAGTCTCACAAAAGTCTTATAAAAATTTGTCTTTAGTGGGTGGCTCCATAGAGTAGTGGTTAGCATGTCTGCTTTACATGCCAAAGGTCCTGGGTTTGAGCCCCAGTGGAGCCACGGCCCGTACCCCGGGAACTCCACGGAAGGAGATGCCTCATCTTCAGATATCCAGATCTTAAGGGGAAACAGCAACATCTGTAGGTCAGGGGTGGAAGGAGACGCCTCACCTTCAGATATCCAGATCTTAAGGGGAAATAGCAACATCTATAGGTCAGGGGTGGAAGTGGGGGGAGGGGTGAATTAAAAGAGGGAAAAATGATTTTTTAAAATTTTGTCAGTAGTATATTAAAATAATGTCAATCAACTATTCACTTCATGCCAGTGGTTGTCAACATGGAGTTATGTTGCCCTCACCCTCAGGGGACATTTGTCAATGTCTGGAGACTTTTTGTTGTCATAGCGGAGTGTGTGTGTTTATGCATTATTGTCATTTAGTGGGTGGGCCCCCCACAACAAAGAATTATAACCCAAAATATCGATAGCACTAGGGTTGAGAACCCCTTCTTAATGCTAAACTCATGAATTCTGAATGCTTATAGTGAAACAGTACAAGATACCAGGGTTCGTGTGCAGCTGCTAGGAATGAAACCTTGATTGATAAGAATACAGTGTATCTGCTGGATGATCTTCCTTTGACAGCTTTATCTATATAATAATCTCATTTTAGATAGTTGTTCTACCTCTGTGTCAGGTAAACTATAGGAATTTATTTGCCTAAAACCACTACCAATAGCTGGATTATGGTGAAGGTTACAGAAAACATTTCACTCTCTATCCCTCACAACTCATATATGAGCAGCAGTGTCCACACTTTCGTTGGGACTAATTTCCTGAGACCTGTGGTAGGCCTGTGCGTGGAAAAATAATCTGATGTTTTCTCTTAGCACAGTTCTGTGATTAAACTGCCCTAAGAGCGAATGGAGTAAGACTTTCTATACGTTGTTTGATAAAAAGATGCTTAATAGCCATTAAGATTAGATAAACGCAGAACTGCTTGACTTACCTTAACTTAGCAGGGATTGAAAGGAAAATAATGACCTTTAAGTTGACTTTCTAAAAATCATAAACAACCATTTTATATTATATTGACATTATTTAAAATGATAAGCAATCATTTGGACTTGAGCTTGGCTGGCTTATCTCTGCGTTATCTAAACAGAAAAACCACCTTTAACATTTTTCTATTTGCTCTATTAATTTTATTAACATTGAATAGTGGTATTAATCTTTCAGTGCTTTTAGAAGTACCAGTTATTTATTAAAGCAATGAATTATTTCATAGAATTCTACTAGGGAACACTTACTTAATTCAGTGCTCCCTTGTGAATTTTATTAATTCAAACTAGTCACCCGCTGGTTAACAAAATTCATAGGATTTTGGAAATGGGAGAGATTCTACATGTTATCTATTCTAGGTATCTTGCTTCCTCAGATGAAGGAGCTTAAAATCCATATACGTTAAATAATTTCCCAAGATCAATCGTCTAATAATTATAGGAGATGGAGCTAAAAATTACATCTTTCCTAAATCCAGGCCTGTGCTGTTTCTACCATATCCCCTGCCCTGTGGGAAATAAAGTTTTACTACCTGTCAAAATTACATCACTATTATATGGAAAATATTAGTATATAAATGTGTAGGCTTATGTATGTGCATACACATTGAAGTCTAGTTTCTTCTTTTTCAGTTATACACCATTTTTCTACAAAACAAAGAAGAATCAGAGCAATAAAGGAAATGGCCAGAGTCTTAGTTCCTGGAGGCCAGCTGATGATTTATGTTTGGGCCATGGAACAAAAGAACCGGCATTTTGAGAAGCAAGATGTGCTTGTTCCGTGGAACAGGGCCTTGTGTTCCCGGCTCCTCTCTGAATCCAGCCAGCCTGGGAGAGCGAAGCAGTGTGGACATCCAGAAAGAAGCCATCCCTGCCATCCTCCGTGCTCTGCGTATAGCTGCTCTGTTTGTTTTAAGGAGCGATGTCATTCAAAACGGTCTCACAGCATAGGCTATGAACCTGTTACAGCTGGAACCTGTTGTGCAGGTATTTCTAAGGAAAGTGAGGAAGACAATGGCTTCTATAACACATTAGGAAAGTCTTTTCGTTCCTGGTTTTTCTCCAGATCTTTGGATGAATCAACTCTGAGGAAACAAATGCAAAGAGTGAGACCCTTGAAAAACACTGAGAGTTGGGCCAATAGCACTATATCAATCCAGCCTTCCAGACACTCCAGTTTAGACTTAGGTCACCGAGAGCCGTTTTCAACAAGAGAGCAAAATTTGGATGAGGAAGTGTTTGTGGAAACGTCTCAAAAACATCTGGAGTGGCTGAGAGCACCAGCTACAAGGAAACATTTAGATAGAGACCATCGAGAGGAAATTAGGAGAAACAGTGATGGGAATTTTCTGAATAGCACCAGTACTAATGAGAATTGTGTGGGTGCAGGTAACGTAGAAGAAGGCAACAGTTCTGCTAGTAAAATATTGAGAAGAATTTCTGCAGTTGATTCCACGGATTCCATCCCAAATGACACAATTTCTGTGGAGGAACGACAGCCCAACGTTTTGGATTCTAGAGCCTTTATGCGCTACTATCACGTGTTTCGAGAAGGTGAGCTCTGTGGCCTGCTGAAGGAGAATGTGTCCGAGCTCCACATTCTGAGCTCTGGGAATGATCATGGCAACTGGTGCATTATTGCAGAGAAAAAGGAAAACTGTGGTTGATTGGATCATTTTAGACAACCCCTCCATAGATGAAACCACCTCTTTTCACTGGGTTTGGTATGGTTACCTGAATTGAATTTCAGTATTATTACTTTTTAATCTATTGATGCTGTGATCTGTAGATGCTCTGAATTGATCATCTTTTTAATCTTTAGGTAAGCACAGAGCCTGGCATCTAAAGCATTTGACAAAGGGTATTTGTGATTAAATGTTGATATAAGAGATCTGCAGAAGCAATATAAAGTGAACTTAACACAGTTTGGATTTTTTCCCCTGAAAGATGAAATTATTATAAGAATACATATATATTGTTTTTCAGTATTATATACTGATTTTAAAAGATTCTGTTTTTAAGTATACTTTCTAAAAACAACATTTTTATAAAGTTAAGGGTTAATTTCTATTTCTCAGGTTATAATTTAGATCTGTGTACCAGATACCATGTAACACTGTTCCATTGTACCGATGTCAACTGAATCACGTAGTAAATTATTTTGTTGCCAAGGTCTTGCTTCTTTTAAAGTCTTCAGAAAGGTGAGAGAGGTAGAGAAACAAGAAGTGTTACAAGGACTTTTCTAAATTTAGATAAGCAAACCTGCTTCAAGATAAGGAAATAACAAAGTTATCAATATCATTCTGAAGGTTTTTTTAAGGTACCGTTAGCATGTGGAGAGTAGGCTCTGTGGGTGTTTGAAGTTGTTGCAAGTACCCAGGTAGTATTTTTCTGACCTTATTAGAGGAAGGAATATACAAATAATAAAAACCAAGATTAAGTAATGAGTTTTTATCTAGAATGATGCTTTTCTTATGGACTGAAAGGATATTTAGGAAATGAGAATCCGTTTGAAGCCTGTTTTGGCTCTTATTGTAGATTGTTAAGGGGCAAGACATTTGGCCTTGGTGGAAGATCGGTTGAATTTTTAAAAATAATATCTAGGCATTTATTGTATTGAAAATGACCACATTTTATTAGTTATATTACAGAGATTTAAGCAGAATCAAGTCCTATTTAATCAGAGGTTGAATATCTGCCACTTTATAGACAAAGGAATAGGTTGGGCGTTATTGGTCACTGCATCTGTTTAGATTCAACTGTGGGGTTGTTTAAATCCATTTCATGGATTCTGAAACATACCTATAATTAGGACGGGACTAGAGCTCTAAGAGAAACAGAAATAAGTCGACCCAGAATAAGGCCTAAGAGAGCTCCTTAATGAGGAGGGATTCGACATTTGACAAAAGTCTTTTACTTTTTGGACCATTGTAATCCTGGATGAAAATCCAATACTTGTTTATTTTCCACTAAAATTAACTGAAATAGTAACAGATTTCATTTGGTTTTGGTTTCTTTTTTCATTCAGTGATTGTGCCCTAACTTAAAATAATGATGCTACTTTCAAAGAAGCTTAAAGGGTTATTTTTAATGGTTAGCCAAAAATTATTAGTGTTTATAACTCTTGAGTTTAAAAAGACTGCATCATCACCATTTTGGTTGATGAGACTGGTGGGAATGAGACATGATTTGTATTGTTCAGTGCACAGTTTGCATTAGAGGGACAATGAAAACAGGCAAAGAAGTGGAATAGAAATTAAAAATTAATTTAGTGTCTTCCATTTCTTATGTTAGGACATTAAACCATGAGAGTAAGTGGTTTTCTTGGTGGAAAGAAAAGATTATCAGAGTCAGAGAAGTTCTTACAGTTAAGGCTTGGTGGCCTTTGTACTGAGTATATTTTCCCTCTCTTTGAAGCCTATATCTTTAATCCCAACCTTGTTGCCAGAAATCTATTGGAAGTCATCCTTCTGGTGGTAGATTACCACTTACATAAAACTCAGTTTATTCAACTGCGCCAGTAAAGTTTTGAACTAATCTGTTGTGGGACCTTCCCCTGACCATACACACACACACACTCCATTTTGTATAAAATAATTCTCTAGAACAGTTCTCAAGAAATATTTTCACATAATTTTGACAGGGCTGTAAATGAAAAACCATGAATAATACCAACCTTTTGCTCTTCATCTTCTGAGCACAAGAACTCTATGCATTCAGACATTATTTTGTATGCAAATACTTAATTCCGTGGTTGATAGCCTCTCTTTGGTATGTTCATGTGAAAAGCACTCTTAAATCTAGCTTTTGCCTTTGGATATATATCTGTATATTATTTATCTCCTATATATATTGAAGAGCCTAATATCTTGATATCTTAAATATCTTGATCATTTAAAAATCTTGCTCATCTTTAACATTGTCCTCAAAAAGAAATACAAGTCATAAGTGAGTTTAAATAACCATACAGAGGTTATTTGTGAGTGTTCAGTCTGCTTTAACTTGCTCAATTATAGATTTCGCTGATCTATATGAAGTAATCTGAAAAAACTTAAGCTCTGTTATTAATACTGGGCTGAACAATGTCTTTACTGTTCCTTCTCTTTTACGTCCTGGCATCACTGAAAAGTCTCGCAATCTGAAGTAGAGGGGAGCATTTGGGTGATGATTAGAAGGTCCTTAAAAATCTTTGCTGACTTATTGATGCCTCACTGGCCTATTTGAGGAATTCCATATAAACAGATGATTTAGAGGAAAGTGAATTAATATGGACAAATGATGCAGTCAACATAATGTTATAGTGAGAATCATGCAAGAGACCTATTTAAATTATTTCTTTAAATTGTCACTATAATGATGAAATGACAGCAGCATATCATTATAACTAACAAATAATCTAACAGACATCTTGGAGTATCACAGTGGTTTGGTCCTCCTTTCTCATCACTCATCCCTCTGCAGGATGGTGTGTAATTCTAGTTTCCAGTTTGCCTTTCTATACCCTTTCAAATTCTGGATGTCAAGAATTGCTCCGTATTTTAACTGAGCATCAATTGAATGAATAAAAAATTAGAGGTAATCTGGAGAGTAAATAATCCAACTATAAATTAGCTAGGAACATTAATGACCACAAAAAAAAAAAAAAACACTGGGGGTTTTTAAAAAAAATAAATGGGTTTGGAGGAAGACTTGAACTTGGTTAAGGAGCTTAAAAATAAGCTGTGACATTCCCCTTTGAGAGAGAGGGGGAATGGGGTGTAGCCATTGGCCAAGCCATAATAACTATTATGTAGAAAATTTGAAATATAATGATAAAAGCAACTAACTTTTCATAATATCTAACACTTATTTCATCTGTAATCCTTACCACAGCCTTCTGAAATAAGCATGCTTATTGTTCCCATTTTGCAGATGAGGAAAATTGAAGCAGAAAGCAATTAAATTGTCCAACGTCACAGTTACACACGTAGTATCACACATCTAGTAATGGGCAGGGCTAAGATCTAAACCCATGCAGTCTGGCTCCCAGCCTGTGCTCTCAACCACAACACCATGTACACCTAATCACAGTACGAGGCAGTAAGAGCCTTCAAGGTAAGTGTGATTATCCCTTTTATAAATGAGCTTTGGCAAGGTTAAACAAAGATTACAAAACTAGACAATAATTGGATAGCAATCCTTTTCATATTTTCCTTATCTTTATATTTAATTTTTTCATTTGTAAGTCTATTTCTATTTGAATATAATTTTTAAAAAATAGTCTTGGTCACAAAATGTTCTATGATCACTTTTCTCCAACTCTTCAATCCTTCAAAAATGGTATTACAGTTTTCCCATTTTATAGGTGTGAAAACTGAGGAATATTCGAATATTTTATTCATTTCATTTGTTTACTGAACCCAGATAGGTAGGATATAAGGCAATGAATATCAGATGTGTTGAGTATACACAGAATATTAGAATTAATTGACCTGAAAGTGCCAAGCTGGAACAGTTTTCATATTCGTTGTGTAGCTACTACCAAGTTACATTGTTTAGTTTGAGAAAAGCGATATACACAGTGCATATTAACATATTTAAATAAACTTGGACTTAATTTAACCGAGCTCGAATATTAACATTTTTATGTAAACTTGGACTTAATTTAACTGAGTTTGCCTGAGATATATTAATGTCCTCTAGCACAAGTATTCTGTGGAACACATTTCGGAAAATAATGTGTCTGGTAGAATAAAATGCACATGCCTTAGGAGGGCATTCATAAATTGACTCTAAATTACTTTCAGTCTCATCTCTTGCAATTGCAACCAATTTTTTCTGTTCTGCAATGTGCTGTTTTAAACAATGCTTGCATTAGAAATTACATAATGACAAGTAATTTTCGCATCCCCTAGAAATAAACTTGGATTTCAAATGCCATAATTACAATGCTTCTCCAAAGAAAAGTGTAGGAAATGGGTTTTATCCTATCAATTCAAAGAGCTTATGAGATAAGTGTTATCATATACCCATCCAACAGATGGAAAAACCATGGGAGTGGAAGGAAATTACAGAAGCATCGTCAGACCCCAAATCAGAATATTCAACTCCTCTCACTCCAGTCTTAACTCAAAATTATGATTACTGGTTTGATATTATAGACTCTACATTTGCTACCTCATTATCGACAAAATTGGAATGAGAATAGTTTAAAAAGAACTCTCACCAATCAAGTATTGAAATTATAATGCAAGTAGGCATTAGGCATACCATGAAGAACACGAACACAGAAACCTAAGAAAGCTAATCAAAGAGAAAATACTGTGAATTGTCCTATTTTTGGTTCCCCATGGGCCCCACAGTATGTGATGCATTAGTATGAATATATATCACTTCAGTTTTAACACACATTCTGTCCCCTTCTAAATTTGGGTCTTTCCACTGATTATACACGAGTAATCACTTCACGTGGTTTTCATTTGAACTCTAATACAATCTATGTGACCAACCAAATGGACCACTTGTGAGAGTCATCTGTCCAATTGGATCCTTCTTTGTTAAATAAATATATATTTTGTCTTTTTTTCAACTAGAGCTAGGAAAAATAAAGTTTCTCTCAAACCAATTAATTGTTAATTAACCCCCATGAAACAATGTATTTTCTCTACATAGAATATTTATTTTTTTTCTGGACGTTACCTCCATGTAGAAAAGACAGTAGATCACAGTAGTTCATCTATAGCCAGTGTCGAATGTTGGAGTCCCTGAGAAAGTTATGTTAATATTTATGCTCGCCCAGCAGGGAATCTGGCTGAATGACAGGCATTTCTCTAGTGAGCTAATCATACCACTTCCATTAGATTTTCTATGTACATATGTAGAGGGACTGAATTAGTAAAGGACTGCTTCCCTACTCTGTTTATTTACTCGAAACTCTGGTACTACTTAAGACTCACTAATGTGGGACCCCAGTGGAGT